CACACACACACACACACACACACACACACACACACGCACACACACGCAGGCATTCACATGTCAGGAGCCATTTTTAATCAGGATGAGTGGACGTTAAGCTCGCTACTTCAAGAGACGAAGATGGCCGTGGACTCCCATGTCGCGAAGAGTGTACCCACATGCAGACGCTTAACGAGTTCTATCTTTTTTTGAGGGTCCGTCTTGCAGCTCTCCTCCAGTGCCGTGAGTTGACTGTCATTGAACACGTCAGGAGCAGGAACCGCATAGATGCTCCTGGGAATATTGTTGACGACCACACAACAGCTCACAAACTGGCCATTTGAAGGGACCTGCAAAACACACGCAAACAAGGAGCAAGAGCCGCCAATCCGCTCTGTTTATTACCACACCCCATTATATTATAGAAGACTGCAAATTTTGATTCTACCTGTTCGTTACAACGTTCAATTTTATAAATTTGGACTGATAATGGTCAGAAGGTGGATCTGCTCCACCAACAGCACATCACTCGTTGCTCCTGCCCATCTGCCCTCCCCTACTCTATCTCTGCCGCTTGTGTATCAGGCAAAGCCTGGCCCCATTGATGCTATGCTCAAACTAGAAAAGCAAGAACTTTGAGATGTATACGGCCAGGTTCATGTTTGCTAAGCGCATCTCCCTCTTCATAGCTTTGCTGCGCAGGACAACCGTTGTCCACATCTCCCTCTTCATAGCTTTGCTGCATAGGACCACCGCTGTCCACATGTCGTAGCGTTGCTGCATCATTTTCTTCTTCCTCATCATCTTCTTCTTCTCTTTCGCTTCGGATCCCTCACCAGGGTTTCCTCTCATGTCCCACCCCCAGTGCACGTTCACTCACTCACTCACTCACTCACTCACTCACTCTCTTCTTCTTCTTCTTCTTCTTCTTCTTCTTCTTCTTCTTCTTCTTCTGAGCGCGTTGAGCTTGTTGTAGGTGCTTTCATGCTTTCCCTATGGACATGGACGCGTAGCGATTGGCCTCGCTACTTCAATTCAATACTTCAATTCAATACTTCAATTCTTCTTCTTCTTCTTTACGTTTCCCTTCTCGTCGTCTTCCGCTTTTGCTTCCCTCACCAATGGTTTCCCCTCATACCCCATCCAAAGTGCGCATTCACTCACTCACTCACACACTTCTTCTTCTTCTTCTTCTTCTTCTTCTTCTTCTTCTTCTTCTTCTTCTTCTTCTTCTTCTTCTTCTTAGTTTTTCCCTTCTCGTTCTCTTCCGCTTTCGCTTCCCTCACCAGTGGTTTCCCCTCATACCCCACCCCCAGTGCCCATTCACTCACTCCACTCACTCACTCCGCTCACTCACTCACTCACTCACTTGCTCACTCAGACACTCTCTCCCTTTCATGTCATGTGCACTCACTGGCTTCCTGATCTGCTCACCTTGCCGAACAGATAGACTGTACCCGGATTACCCGCGAAGGGCTCTTCGAATGCATCCGTGAGGAAGAATGGCAATGTCCCGTCGGCGTCTAAACAAAGACCTTGGTCCTCTCCTCTCCCAACACTTCGATCCCCCACTTTTACTGCAGCTTCTCTCGCTCCGGATTCACTTTTCACCGTCGCCGCACTCCCCTCTCCTCCTTTGGGCGCTGCCTCTACCCTAGAATCACAGACAGCTTGCCAACCCTTCACCGCATTCTCGCGAACAGCCAGAATTGGAGCTTTCTCAGTAGCGCCCAGCTTTTTTGGCTCTACTGTCTCTGTCAATCCGCCCGCCTTCTGCATTCCCGGGCATTCCACATTAACCCTAACAAATGCGTCATCGTCAAGCTCCGACTCCTTGCTGTGATTCAATCTTTCTCTCCCATTCTCTTGAGAATGTTCTCTCTCTCTCATTCTCCCGTCGGTCTCTCCTGTTCCTTTCACGGTTGGATCGGGCGCATCAACACCCGCCGCAGCCGACGTCGTGGTCGCATTCCTCTTCTCTTCTCTCTCAACCGCCTCTGGACCGCAACCCTCCTCCTTCACGTCTTCTTTTCTGACTTTCCCTCCTTTCCCACGTCGATCTCCCTCCTCCTCCTTCCCCTCCTCTCTCTTCTCCTCTACTTCATCTTCCTTTTTTGCTGACTTCGCCTTGCCTATCTCTCCATGCAGCAGATCGCCTCCCGTTTTACCGGGCCCCCCCACTCCCATACCCCCTATATCTCTCTCCCGATCTGGATCATCCATCACAGACGGGTTGAGATCCGTCTGCCAGTATAACCCTTCCCTTCTCCCCACAACCTCCGGCAATCCTCCTCCTACCGATAATCTCCCCCCTGAAGAAAATACCGAGGGATTCACCACTCCCACTGCTCCCAGAGATCCTCCACCTCTTCCACGTCGCAGTCTCTCTCTGTCCGTGTCGTCTGCTCCGATTTCAGCGAGCACATCATCAAGAATGCTCTCAGTGGATTGACTTCCTCCCACTACGCCCCCCCCCCCCCCCCCCCCCCCCCCCCCCCCCCCAACCGACCTCCCCGCGCGCCCTGTCGCTCCCGCTGCAGCGGCAGCAGCGAACATAGAACTCATTCTGCCCCTGGCAGCCGCTGCAGCCGTCGTTTTGGCAGCATCAACAGCTTCCGAACCACCCCTCTCCTTCTCCCCTCCCGCTCTCTTTCTCGACTTCCCAGGCTTTCTTTCTCCGCGCCCTCCTCGATCCCTTCCTCTCATCCTCTTTCTTGAGCCCTCTCTCAACTCCTCCTCTGAGCTGTACTCCCCCCGTCTACCCTCCCCATTCTCCCATTCGTCCTCCTCCCCTATATCCACATACCCCAACTTATCATCGCCCACTATGAAATCGCCGACGTCCTGCCTTCTCTTGGACACCAGTTCCGCATACTCCTGATCATCGACGACGTCATACACCTTCTCCTCCAGCTCAACATTGAAAGTATCCAGGCGGCGGCGAGCCGCTGCCGACCCTCCTCCCTCGCCACCCTCACCCTCGCCTGCACCCCCTGCCCTTCCTCCCCCGGCTCGGAGCGCTTTAAGTTCCGCCAATGCATTCAGTTTTGCATTCTCACTCGCGGAAGCTTTCGACAGCCTCCTCCTCGAAGACCTAGATGGTGTGCCATGACTCTCCGGCTCCATTTGTCACGAGATTCCGCCTTCTTGATCAAAAGACTCTGCGCCAATCGATCCCGACTCCCTCTACCAATTTGCTCCCTTTGTCGACAACTTCGTCACTACCGGTCGGCGGTATGAAGGGCGACCGGCAAAATCCTGGACGACGACCGGCAAAATCATGAACGCCGATCGGCACAATCATGAACAGCGACCGGCGTAGTCATGAAGGGCAACCGGCCTAATCAGACTACCCGCTCGCCATTTAGCAGACTGATGAGATGTCGGGAAGAGCGATAAGGTGACAGGGTTGCCACTCAGCAGACCACACTGAAGAACAGGAGGCGAGCCAACGGATAGCGAGGGGCGGTCCTCAAAATCGTACGGAAACAGCTGAAAGGCGATGCTCCCGCGCGAGTACGCAGGATCTTGGAGAAGGATTGTCAAACAACATGATGGCGAACTTGGGCAAAAGGCTGGGAGGTCCTCGCACCAGTATGCGCCTTCCGCGGCTATCCTCTTGTTACCCACTTTCTCTCTCGACTGCCTTCGTCGAATGTTAAACTACCGGTAGACACTGCTCCGACCATTATCTCTCGTCGATCTTCGAGACCTGACAGTCCTCAAAATCCGGAAGCCTTAATCATACGACGCGGTCCTTCTTCAAGATAAGCATTTTCACAGTTCGACGAAACCGACAGCAGATTGAAGGTTAGTGGAGGAGATCAAACCGACACCTAAGGTTCCGGATCTCTCTCTCTCTCTCTCTCTCTCTCTCTCTCTCTCTCTCTCTCTCTCTCTTGGTTGTGGTTAAGTCCCTCTCGATTTCTTCGTCTCTCCTTCCTCTGATCTCTTCTCTCTCTAGGCTTCAGGCCCGGGGCAGGTGCAATCCGCACGCACCCCGTCCCCTACAAAACCCATGTCAACACTCTCTGCAGCGTCTCTGTTTGCCTGCGTGCATCCACCTGCATTTCTGAAGCATTAACGGTCTACCTTCATTGCCCTCATCGCCTGGTACATCATCGTGGTTTGCGCCCTCGGCTGTAATCTGCTTCCCGGGCCTCCCTGTTATTCCACCCCGCATATTCTTTATTCCTCCCTGTCTTTCTTGGCCCAGATACTTCGTGAATATGCGGGACACCAATTGGTCAGATATATCCCGCGAATTACGCACATTCCGAAGCACGTAAAGCATATCCAAGCACATATAGCAATGAAGTACACTTTTGTGCAAGCGATGCACTTGAGTACGTTAGGCCGGGAATGATGTCAAGTTGTTGGTCGGGAGAGGGCTGTCATAACGTCAGCGACAGTGACCCGCGTGCGGCCGATCATTTTGCTTTGCGGATGCTGGTTCGTTTTCGTATTCAAAGCCTCTCTCGCAACGTACTGCAGTTTCCCGCGAGTTCGTATGTGCGCCGACTGGGGAAGATCCGCACCGGCCCGCGATCAGACGACAGCCGTTGTACCTTGATACATCCCAGCTCCTTCTCCAGAGGAGAAAAGACGAGATTACCACTCGTTGCCGGAAGGGGCACTCCCCGCTCAGGTACTCAAGCAAAATTCACAAAAATCGCAGATTCTGCTATAGTACGGGGTCAACAGCCAGCACAGGTACGCAAATGACGCAAATGGGTACGCAAATCCTCCAGCCTGCCTGGCCGCCGGGGTACGCAAATTTGTTTTGTTTGGGGCCGCGACCTTGCTTCGGCCGGCGCTACTGCGCTCCGCCAAGCGTTACCGGGCTCGTCAGAACCCAAGCTGCCACCGAGGGCGGTGGTACTGGGACTTGTTCCTCATCGCGCCCCCATTGAGGGGTGGATATGACGACGGCTAGCCATAGGAGAACATGTTAGGCAGAGGAAGCGAAACCCCCCCTCCCTCCTAGGTAGAGAGGAAGGTAGTAAGGGGAGAGTTGAGGTTGTAGGTGGAGGAAGGTAGAAGCAGGTAAAAATGGAGGGGAGAGTTGAGGTTGTAGGTGGAGGAAGGTAGAAGCAGGTAAAAATGGAGGCTACACCTGGCCGAGAAGGCACGGGGAGATCTCCCCCAACTGCCCTAGGGATTACTGGGAGGATGAAGATCGATTAAGAGAACTCTTCGACGAGGGCGTGTTCCCTACGGAAATAGACCCCGGGGAGATGACGATTGAAGGGAGAGAGGCTAGATTCAAATTGAGCACATCACTGGACGACATCAAAGTGAAGTGGCTCAAGGAAAGGACAGTAACGATGATCTTTGGAGATGAAGCTAGATTCCTTCAAAAAAAGATTAAAGACGATCTGGTTCGTGCGTTCGAAGACAGCTGGGTGATAGGGAATCAGAATTTACCAGAGAACACAAGGTGAGGAAGGTTGAAGATTGAAGGTCCAGGAGTGGCATCCTACGTCGCCAAGGCACGAGAAGTCGCAGAGTTCATGATCCGAGAGGCCCAAATGGAAATACAGCTTGGAGGAACGTTGTAAAAAATTAAAGGATGACTCCACGTTCTGGATTATTGCTCTCCAAATCCCGATTGACGACATCCCCTTCATCTATGCGCAAATAGAAAGGGCGATCGGGAGAATCGTACTGGCACATCCAACAGATTCAGATCCTACGAGGAGAGAAGGTTAACAACAATCATATTTTTCATCACCACTTCATGACACCCTTCACCACTTTAGGATGCAACCTGCCTAAACAGGTGGTTTTCAGGGTCTTCAGACCTTTCACCACTTCAGGATCATTCAAGTCTGAAAATCGTGAATGGTCATGAAGTGGTGAAAACTCCGAAGACCCTGAAAACCACCTGTTTAGGCAGACTGCATCCTCAAGTTGTGAAGGGTGGTTTTCATGGTCTTCGGACCTTTCACCACTTCAGGACCATTCAGGATTCTCAGACTGCCAAAAACTCTCACTTGACCACTTCAGGATGTAGCCTGCCTAAACAGGTGGTTTTCAAGGTCTTCGGACCTTTCACCACTTCAGGACCATTCATGATTTTCAGATTGCCCAAAACTTTCACTTCACAATTTTCGTTCCTGAATTTTCAGCTACCCGATAAACGTTTGTGGAGGAAGGTTGGTGTACATTGTGGTAAAATCAACAGTGTGAGGAGAGAGGTCACGAAGAGACGATGTATTGTTTTTCAGGTCAATCGTCACTATATCGGCACTCTGAACGATCCAGCACCGTCGAACACCAACCTGTTGATAGAGTTCAGTGTCTTTCTCGCGAAGAGTTGAGATCACTCCTTGCAAAGCAGCGCTGAGATACGACGAAGTAGTTGTTGTGCTAACCAAGGGTTTGTGAGGAGGCCGTTCATGAACGGTGTGAATTGTTGGACGAGAGCGAGCACGTGGGGGAACAACACCATTATTTTGTGTTGTGACTTCAAGAATGCTGCAAAGAGTTGGAGGAGCCTTGTGAGCTTTGGGTACATAGTAAAGGTAAGGTAGGGTATGAGTGTGGGTGTAACTCCAATGGGGATTCCACACTGCATGGTGGTCAAGGACATCAGCAACAGACTCTTGAGGACGAGTATAAGTGGGACTGTCCAAATGGGTAGAGAGATAAAACAGATACTAATTCTTACAACAAATTGTCAAATTGTGTGATGTTTTGTTCACAGGGACAATGACAAAGTATTGTTGAAGATGGTGCAAGGAGACATGTGTAGAACGTAGTGAACGTGGCTGGCTCACATGATTGGAGAACGAAGATGAACTGGATTGACAATGCGCAAGGATTGTTGAACGTCAGTTGTTCAGCTTCTAAGAGACGAGAAAGAAGCAGATCGAGAATGTCCGACCAACAACCTTTTGTAATTGGCAATGTACTCATCTAGATCTAGTCCAATTGCCAGTGCCTGAAGCACATCGGCAGTTTTCCCATTCAACCGATACTTCGAGCCTTCTTGAAAAAGTTTGCGAAGGCTATCATCGAAGATGATATTGTTGCCAACAGACACAATATGGTCATCCACAAGATCATAACAATGTGGAAAGGCTTTGTGGCATTCGCAATCAGGAGAGTCGGGTAAGGTCATGCCAGGAGTAACACTCAAGGCCACATCGATGAAGTTACAAAACTGGACACGCATGGGTGTCATCAGGTTGTCACATATACGAACATGTGTGGTTGTTTGAGGATCGTGGTGCAATTCAACTACATCCAGCAATTGTAACACATGGCGCAAGTTCGTAGCAGGAGCTACCTCATGCGCATGTACAACCTTGATGTGGTCAGTAAATGGGTCACGAGGTTGTATTGTGTAATATTGGCGGGTATGCTGTGATTTTCGGATGAGGCATTCGAGTTCTCGAATGTCTACTGTCATGTCTGCATTGGAGACATTATTGTAAAGCCATTGCAAAAGCCATACCCGCCATATTAGTGCTGCTTGCTCAATATCAGCCTTGACACAACACCAATTACCCGAAGCAGCTTCAGTGAGAATATAATGCAGTGAGGTACGAATCATAAGTTGGGGACTTGGACAAAGATCAACAACAAAGGACATAACGAAAGGTGTTGCCAATAGAGGTAAACAATGAGGGGATGTTGGAAAGAGAGGCAAACAGTGAGCGGGTGTAGATAAAAAGGGTGCAGCATAAGAGTCAACGGGTGTTGGTAAAAGGGGTGCTATGTGAGAAGGATCAACCTGTACAGGAACGGATGGGGCAGCAATAGATGTGGTACGGAGGGAAACAGGAGGAACTGAGGCATGAGGAGGTAGAAGGGGCAAAGGAGCAAAGGGACGAGGGCCCATTTGTGTCCAACGATGAGGGCGAAAGTGTCGTCGTGGAGTCGACAGTCTAGCCATTGAAAGGACTGCATTGAAACCAATTGGGTGAAGAATTCGAAGTTTACGAACCCAAAAACCCTAGCAGGATGCAGCAGCCCGCCGAAAGAGGGCATGATCAACAAGACCTTCAGACTTATGATAAAGGGTAGGATCGATGCATTCCACGGGCCAAGCAACAAAGTTCAATGCTGGTTGCGCATACATTGCACGATAGAGATGGCGGTGGCGAAAAACAGAAGAAGAACGTCGTGTATGTCAATGCTCTTGCAGCCGTTAATGTGCAGAATGCATCGTTTGTCCAACATAAAAACGTCCTGAAGGCAAATGAACAATTGCATAGATCACTCCTCGAACAGTGAGGGGGTCC